TTATAGTGTTTGAATTATTTATTTTTAAGAGACAGTGTCTTACTATATTGCCCAAGAGGGCCTCAAACTCTTGGACTCAAATGATCCTGCCTCAGCCTCCATAGTAGTTGGGACTATAGTATATACCACCAAACACAGCTCCAGCTTATTATTGTTGATGGGAGACAGAACCTATGTGTGTGCAGATATTGGAAATACCAGGTGCTTGTTTTCCTTGTGCCCCTTCCAGCAAGGATGAGAAGTGATCAGGATCACAGCTCTGGTTTTAGATTTGAGAGAGAGTGATACAAAGAAGCCAAGAACATTTCTGCACAGTCGCAGGACCCAGTGGTCACAGAAGGCTGCAGCAGAGGCATCTGGTGCCCTATCAGTGGCTTTAGCAACCCACTTAGACTCACAGTGGTTCCTGTTTGCACCTGCAGCTATCTTAGTAATTTTGTGAGCTGCCCAATTTCCAGGAATAAACCATTTCTTTCCTTCAATAAGCCAGAGCTAATGTTTCTAAGAATTTTGACACTGGCTAACTTGAAACATTGGCCAAAGTTCCAGAATTCCATTACCCCAGTAGAGTTGGGGTAGAGCCAGTCTCTATCCCAAAAGTCAAATTCACCAGACAGACCTTCACTATGGGGAGAGGGGTGACAGAGGAAGGGATGGGAGCTGGACTGGAGGAGAGGTGGCTGACAGGCTTGGCAGATGGTATGAACCATCTCACTCTAGGCCTTGGCTCCAACCTGCTTCCAAGCTCACCTGCTTCATCTGTACCAATCCCAACCTTATCAGCAACGTCCCACTGGCTTAGTTCTCCATTCTTGCCATTCCCCTGGTCATCCAGGTAGACTTGTTTCATATGTTAGGCCCCACAGCCCTCTGCTTCATTGCCTGTCTTAACAGAGGTACACTCTTGCTTCTGAATCTTATACCTGGCCTTTTGTGTCCTCCCTCTCTTCCTAGGTCATATTCTTCTTCCACTTTTCTAGGCTTTGGTCCTGGGTTTTGAGATCTGTGCTGATCTTCTGTGACCTGGTCCCTAGGTGAATTGGGGAAAGGAAGCAAACTAGAGAGTTAGAGGCAGCTATTAGTTCCTAGAAGGCCAACATCAGCCAAGCCAAATAATATATAAAGTTTCTTTTTTTTTTTTTTTTTTTAGTTCCTCTAAAAGAGCAAAGTTCCCTGTGAATAACACCTCTCATCCTTGTCTGTCCCTTCTTTCCCTGACCACCTTCTAAAGACTCTGATGTGCCTGGGAATAGCTGGTCTCAGAGAAGAGCTTCCCTGAGAATTCAAAGCCCTAAGAACCTGCCAGGGAGGCTGCAGAGACATTTTATAGTACACAAGCACCGACATACTCCCAGATCCAATGTCCCCACAACAAATTATGTATATATAAGCCTTAACTCTCTCTTTTAGGGTCTCCCTTAAGATCCTACATGGCTCAGTATCTCCTTCTGGGGCCTTCTCCACATGGGCAGGCATAATGAATTTAGTCAATTAACCATTCTTTCTAGGTGCCTGATGCCTGACATCTTCAGGTACCAAGTTCACATGATGAGTGATTCTGTCTAGCATTCTTTTCTTTCAATAATTCATTATTCACTTTTTTTTTTTTTTGTGCCAGTACTAAGGCTTGAATTCAGGGTCTAAGTGCTTGGTGCTGCTCAAGGTTAATGCTCTACCACTTGAGCCACAATTCCACTCTTGGCTCTTTTTGATCATTAATTGGAGATCAGAATGTCATGGACTTCCCTGCCAGGGCTAGCTTTCAATTGTGGTCCTCAGAGCTCAGCCTCCTAAGCAGCAAGGATTATAGGCATGAGCCATGGCACCTGACAGAGAACTCATCAGACTGATATGGTTCCTTGAGCTTAAGGCATTGATAGTGAGGTGGAGAAAGGCAGAGGGTGCTGATGGCTCTAGCAAGTTCCCCTGCATCACAACAGTGGCAGCCATCTGTCTAACACGTGCCATACTCAAGCACTCTTCTAAGTCCTTAATTTACACATGCACACATAGTGACATTTAATTCTTCTATCAACCTGATTAGGTAGCTACCTTTATTCCACCCATTTTAGGAATGAGGAAACAGGTCCAGAGAGGCTGAATAACTTGGCTTGCAATCATATAGCTAAGTGGTGGAACTGTAAGTCAAACTGAGAGGTTCATTGGGGGTTCATTCTTCTGATCTCTATGCTATACTACTTCCATGAGTCAACAGATGCCAATTCTGGCTAAGAAGCTAGGGGACATGATATAGGAGCGAAATGAGGCCAGGCGTTGGTGGCTCACGCCTGTAATCCTAGCTACTCAGTAGGCTTTGATCTGAGGATCTCAGTTCAAAGCCAGCCCAAGCAGGCTCAGAGTTCAAGCCTCATGATGGACCAAGGGGGGGGGGGTGGGGGGAGGAGAGGGAGAGGGAGAGAGAGAGAGAGAGAGAGAAAGAGAGAGGGAGAGGGAGAGGGAGAGAGAGGAGAGCTCTTTCACAATCAATTACTCCAGTCTAGTGCTCTGGAATGTATTCCTGACTTTTGGATCCTGCATAAGTACTTTTGACATGACGTGGTTCAAATCCCTTCTGTCTACTTTTTTTTTTTTTTTTTTTTGCCAGTCCTGGGGCTTGAACTCTGGGCCTAGGTGCTGTCCCTGAGCTCCTTTTGCTCAAGGCTAGTGCTATACCACTAGAGCCACAGCACCACTCCAGCTTTTTCTGTGATTTATTGATGATAAGAGTCTCATGGACTTTCTTGCCTGGGCTGGTTTCGAACCATGATCCTCAGATCTAAGCCTCCTGAGTAGTTAGGATTACAGGTGTGAGCCACCAGGGTCTGGCTTCTCTTCTTTTTCTTCTCTCTCTTTCTTTCTTCCTTTCCTTTCCTTTCTTTCTTCTTTTTTTTCTTTTTTTGGTCATGGGGCTTAAACTTAGTACCTGGGCACTGTCCCCAAGTTTTTTCACTTGAAGCTAGCACTCTACCACTCTACCACTTTGAGCTACAGTGCCACTTCCAGTTTTCTGGTGCCTAACTGGAGATAAGAGTCTCATAGACTTTCCTCCCTGGGGCTGGCTTTGAACCATGATCCTCAGATCTCAGCCCCTTGAATAGCTAGGATTAGAGGCGTAAGCCACCAGCACATAGCTTCTGTCTATATTTCTACTTCACCAGGGAGAGTGACTCCTTTCAATCCTTGTCCTTGTTCTGATCACAGCAGGGTGCTTACCAGCCTGTTCTAAAGTAGCAGGTTCCCTACCTCCTGGGCAGCTAAGGACCTGCTAGCTCCTCTACCTTGGTGACTTTGAAAAGAGAACTTGAGGCTGGGGAAACCAGTGAGTCCACTTTCTTGAAGTGTCCTTGGCAGTGTACCTTAAACTTTCCTGGACTCCTGTACCTCATCCTGAACATTTCAGCCGAGCAAATGATCTATATTAAAATCCAGAAGAAAAGGTGAGGCATATTCATGGAGCAGGTAAGACAGCTGGTGAGAGAAAGAGGGAGACTTAATTAGAAGCCTGGGTCTACCTTTAGTTATTGTAAAAAGGTCTTATACAGAAAGTGAAGAAATTTGATTTTTCCCTCTAAGGGGCAATGGAGAGCCACTGAAGGTCAAACTGGATTTTTGGTTTACAGTCTCTCAACATTAGCTTTTTTTTTTCTTACATGTAGAAATTTCTCAACAATAAAGAAATACTGCCATCGTGTGGCTATTGGTTGATGCATGCTCTCACCTGGGATTTCAATGTATTGTTTAATAATTAATCCAAAGACTATATCTCTCTATTAAAACGACTGAAGTCAAGCAATGCTAACTAGTATAACAAAGGATTCATCTAGAGGGCTCAAAAGATTCTGATATTTTATTTTCCTTTTGTTTATTAAAAAACATCCTGTGTGTTGCCAGGCGTCGATGGCTCATATCTGGAATCCTAGCTACTCAGGAGGCTGAGATCTGAGGATTGTGGTTCAAAGCCAGCACAGGCAGGAAAGTCCGTCCAATAAACCACCAAAAAACTGGAAGTGGTGCTGTGACTTAAGGGGGGGGCACAACACGACCCTGGGTGTGCTGGTATTGGAGCTTGAACTTAGGACCTTGAGCATTTCTTGCTCAAGGCTTGTGTTCTACGACTTGAGCCACATTCCCACCTTGGAGTTTTTACTGGTTAATTGGAGACAGTCTCACAGACTTTTCTGCCCTGGCTAGCTTCCAATTGTGATCCTCAGATCTCAGGCTCCTGAGCAGCTAGAATTACAGGTATGAGCCACAAACGCCCAGTTTATTTTTCTCTTAAGCTTTTAGCTCGTCTTTAGGGATTCTGATAGCAAAGATGTTTTCTATTTGCAGTCACTCTTATTTTGGAATCATAAGCTCTCTGGCTCTGTGAAGGTGCCAGTTCTTTCTAGGCCATTTTCAGCAACCATGGTAAATATTTTTTTTACTCCTAGATCTGTTCTCTCTGCAGTTGGGCCGGCCTAATTCAGATTTTCCCACCATTTTTTTTTTTTTTTAAGATGGGAAATCCTTAACCTCTGAGTTTTAGCTACTCTTCTGTAAAATGGGAGTGGCAGGCAGACACTCACTGAAGGCTCACTGTAATCACAGTTACTCAGGACGCTAAGATTTGAGCCAGCCCCAGCTGATAAATCCGAGAGGCTCTCCAATTAACCAGCAAAAAGCCCGAATTGGAGGGGAGATAGAGTAGCAGCCTGAAGCAGAAAAAGCAAGGAATGAGAAGCCTTGTGTACGAGCCCCATGATCAACACCCGCCCACACAATGGGAATGGCACTTTCCCCCCTGGGGCTTTTGTAGAGGTGAGCGGGTAACACATCACCGATCCTCTTATTAGGAAGTCCTCTCCCTTTCCTTGGGGGTGGTTGCTATTGCAGAGCGCAGAGCCGTCCGGCACCCATTGGCAGCCAATCCTTCCACAACCGAGACTTGCCACTTCCTCCGAAGGAAACTACTCATTCCCAAAGGTTTTGGAGACCACGCCGGCTTCCATGCGTGGATGCCTTGCCTGGGTAGCGGTCCACAGGTTAGGTAGGGATTGCAATCCCCGCCAACTCCTGGGTGCGCAGCTGCCGGCAGGTGCGTGGGCCGGAGCCTGGTGCGGCGGGGCGGGGCCACTCGCATTCATTCCTCGCCACTCCCTACCGGGGCTGGGGGTTGCGTGTGGACAATCCGATCCCCGTGGGACTCGGCGGCGGGCCCCATCCGCGGCTTGGCGGATTGGCTGAGTGTCCCAGCTCCCCCTCCCTGCCCTCGGTACCCCCCCCCTCCACGCGTCCCAGGTGGCTCAGGCCCCGGTGGTGATCTCTGTTTACGGAGAGAGCCTGTCCAAGTTGGGGCTCCATCTCTGCGTTCGCTTCTCTCCCGGGCCCTGCCCGCCCGGGAAGCGGGGAGAAAACCCGGCTGAATCCTTCCTCGCCCTTCCCTTCCCCCCAACGCCCAGAGAGATCGGGTAAGGGGAAAATGGTGTGGGAGGGGGACTCGGCTGCCCCGTCCTCCCAGGACCCCGCGAGCACCCCAGACTTCTATCCCCAGGCCTGTCCCCCGCGCCCACGCTCGGGGCGCTGCGCCCACCCGGGGCGAGCAGCCCAAGGCTGGCTCGCAGCTCCCGGGCGGAGAAGCAGGCATGGAGCCTTCGTTCACAGGTGTCTCCCCACCCCCACCCCTGCAGACGGCGATGACCCCCAAGCTGGCCGGACCCCCGGATGGGGGCTGGGGCTGGGTGGTGGCGGCCTCAGCCTTCGCGGTGAACGGCCTCTCCTACGGGCTCTTGCGCTCTCTGGGTCTGGCCCTCCCTGACCTCGCCGAGCACTTTGACCGGAGCGCCCAGGAGACTGCGTGGGTCAGCGCCCTGGCCTTGGCCGTGCAGCAGGCAGCCAGTGAGGGGGGCCCCGAGGTGGGAGGCGGGCATGGGGTGGAGACGCCCTGACCGTAGCGTTGGGAGACCCACTTGCTTATCAGACGACCTGAAAAAAAAAAAGAAAACAAAAACCAAAAACCTACTGATGGGACCGAATTCTAGAAGAGTGGGGGGGGTCAAGAGGTCAAGGGGAGGAGTCTGAGGCCAAACAGCCAGTGCAGAGCGCGGGAGAAAGTTCGGGGGTTCCGAAGCAGGTCTCCCGTTGACTCCGCCCCCTCCTAGGCCCCGTGGGCAGCGCCCTGAGCACACGCTGGGGGGCGCGCCCGGTGGTGATGATCGGGGGCGTGCTGACCTCGCTCGGCTTCTTCTTCTCGGCTTTCGCCCGAAGCCTGCTGCACCTTTACCTGGGCCTGGGCCTCCTCGCTGGTGAGGGGAGTGGGATGCCCGGGGCCTTCGGGGGCGACGGTGGGGACGACGGGAGCTGGTTTGGGGGCTACGCTCACCCTATGCCATCGACTTGCAGGCGCCGGCTGGGCCCTGGTGTTCGCCCCTGCCCTGGGCACCCTGTCGCGGTACTTCTCCCGCCGTCGGGTCTTGGCGGTGGGGCTGGCACTCACGGGTAACGGGGCGTCCTCGCTGGTGCTGGCGCCGGCCCTGCAGCTCCTTCTGGATACTTTCGGCTGGCGGGGCGCGCTGCTTCTTCTAGGCGCGGTCACCCTCCACCTCACCCCCTGTGGCGCCCTGCTGCGACCCCTGGCTCTCACTGGCGATCCCCCTGCTCCACCACGTAGCCCCCTAGCTGCCCTCGGCCTGGGTCTCTTTAAGCGCAGGGCCTTTTCCATCTTTGCCCTGGGCACAGCCCTGATTGGGGGCGGGTACTTCGTCCCTTATGTGCACTTGGCCCCCCATGCTTTAGATCGGGGTCTGGGAGGGTATGGGGCAGCGCTGGTAGTGGCCGTCGCTGCAGTGGGGGATGCCAGCGCCCGGCTGGTCTGCGGGTGGCTGGCCGACCAGGGCTGGGTACCCCTCCCGCGGCTGCTGGCCGTGTTCGGGGGTCTGACCGGACTGGGGATCTTGGCGGTGGGACTGGTGCCCACGGTGGAGAGCGAGGACAGCTGGGGGGGACCTCTGCTGGCCGCGGCTGGGGCCTACGGACTGAGCGCTGGAAGTTACGCCCCACTGGTTTTCGGTGTGCTTCCGGGGCTGGTGGGCATCGGAGGTGTGGTGCAGGCCACTGGACTGGTGATGATGCTGATGAGTCTCGGGGGCCTCCTAGGCCCTCCCCTGTCAGGTAAGGGCTGATCCAGCAGATTTGGTCACCAGCATCTTCAGCCCCTTGGAGTGGAAGACCTCTAAATTCCTTTACCCTTCTACTCAGGCTTCCTAAGGGATGAGACTGGAGACTTCAGCGCCTCTTTCCTAGTGTGTGGATCGTTCATCCTTTCTGGCAGCTTCATCTACATGGGGCTGCCCAGAGCTATCCCCTCTTGCAGGCCAGCCTCACCTCCAGCTACACCTCCTCCTGAGAGGGGGGAACTGCTGCCAGTTCCCCAAGCCATTCTGCTCTCCCCAAGAGGCCTGGCCTCCGCCAGGGATACAACTTGTTGATCATCTATTTGTGCAAGCCCCTCCCCCAATAAAGAATTTTTATGTGATTTTTTTTATTCCCCTTGAAAACTGCATTAGCCAATTCAGGACCTTGAAAATTCAAGAAAGATATCTCAAAAGGCTGGCTAAAGTAGAACAGAACTCCAAGTAACTCTGGGTGTTGGAGGAAGGTTTTTCTGTGTTCAGCTAGTTCATTTTTCTTTACCCAAGTCCTGTACCTCAGAGGGAGTCTTGAAAAGTTACCAGTTTTAAACTGTTCAGGGTAGGGGAGTGAGGGAAAGGAAGAGATGTTCATGTGTTCCCTCTGCTCTGCATTATTCATCTTAGTTACTGGGGCTGAAATCCTGAACTCAGGGTCAGGCCCTGAGTTCAAGTCTTAATTCTGGAAGAAAAAATTAGTATCTAAATCTCACAGACTCCTTTCTGCACTTCAATCTCCCTAAGTTGGCCTAAGAATCTAATGAGGTGGGGCACATGCCTGTAAGGCCAGCATGCAACACGACATCACTTTGCACCTGCACTCAGCAGGAGTATCTTGCTGGAACAAATAGCAAGATGGTCTTGAAACAACAAAGGAAAACAAAAGGCCAAATTTCCTTTGTTCCTTCCTTTCTTCCTCTTTCTTTTCTTTCTTTCTCTAAAATCATAAGGACAGGGGCTGGGAAGGTGACTCAGTGGTAGAGCGCTTGCCTTGCACGTATGAGGCCGTGGGTTCAATTCCTCAGCACCACATAAGCAAAAAGAAAAAAGCTGGAAGTGGTGCTGTGGCTCAAGTGGTAGAGCGCTAGCCTTGAGCTGAAGAGCTAAGGGACAGCGCCCAGGCCCAGAGTTCAGGCCCACGACCGGACACCCCCCCCCAAAAAAAATCATAAGGACAGTAAGGAAAAGGAAGCTAGTTACAAAGACAGGAGGGTGGAACTCTGGGTCACCAGAGTTCATGAACACCTCCACTCCCCTGCTCAGCCATGACTCCATTAGCTGACCAAACCAAATGAGGCCCTTGGTCTTTCTGAAGTTATGATTATTATCCAGTTCCCTTATTTGATATTATCTCAAACCAACATCTATGTTTCCCAAACATCTGTTTTTTAGAGAGGAAACTTGCGGGGGTCAACACTAGAGATCACATATAAAACATGAGAACACTCCAGCCTTTTTTTTTTTTTTTTTGTCAGTTGTAGGGCTTGAACTCAGGGCCTGAGTGTTGTCCCTGACCTGTTTTTTGCTCAAAGCTAGTGCTGTCTACCACTTTGAGCCACAGCGCCACATCTGGTTTTCTGGTAGTTAAATGAAGAGTCTCACAGACTTTCTTGCAGAGGCTGGCTTTGAATCATGATCCTCAGATCTCAGCCTCCTGAGTAGCTAGGATTCCAGGCGTGAGCCACTAGCACCTGGCTCACTCCCAGCCTTTGATTTTCAATTGATTCACAGTTCAGTGAAGCAAGATTTCCTGGATCCAAAACAAAACAAAACAAACACACTGGGAGAACAAAGGAGCAGAAATGAGAGCCCTCAACAATATACAAAGGTTTGGCACACACACCTCAGAAACCCCTGGTCTGCTCTAAGGAGACATTTCAAGAATTGTAAGGCACTGTGATTTGTGGAGGTCAGAGACAGGGCAGAAGACTTGGATTTGTCAAGCTTTGACTTTCTAGACTTGACTGCCTCTGGCTGGAGTTCAGTCCTTTCCCAGCCCCTCCTCCTTGGACAGAGGGACTTTGGTATGCGGTGCTTCGATTACAAGGTCCTGGGATCTGGAGGTAGGAGCTGGACAGCAGGAGAAGGAATAGGGCAGAGTGATGAGAACTCCACTCCCTGCGAGAAGGAAGGCCCCAGCCACCACAAAGGAAACCGTGTAGTTGCCTGTCACATCTCGGAGGTAGCCTAGGTCCAAGAGAGAAAAAAAAAATACATGTGGGTGATCTGTACACTGGGGCAGGTGGCTTAGACCCATTTTATTGGGGGGCAGGGAACCCACTATCTTGAAAGAGCTGGAATCCCAAGGTTATAGTTACAGGAATATGAGAACTCTAGATTCCCAAAGGGCCCCAAAAAGTAATTTCACCCTTTATTGCTTTTGGAAAAGTCTGCCACACCAGCTCATGGGGATCTAGTAAACCAGCATAAGTGAGGCACACCTGAAGGTTTCTTTCTACATGTACAGTTAATAGTTAAGAGGAAAGTGTCAAAGTTTAGAAGGTTCTGCCATCTTGAGCCTGGAGTACTTTAACCGGATGGACCAGACACCTGGGTTGTGGCCCAGTAGACCAAAGGAAGACAACAGAATGCCACAGTCCTCTGAAACTCCAGACTATAGTTAAACAGTCTTTCTACACAGACCTTCTCAGCCCAGCCCCAAGTCCTTTGCCCGATGGCCTTATTTCAGGACTTATGTAGGCTGTGTTACTGTACCATCCCCAAAGGCAATAAGCACATACATTATAATGAGACTAGTCAGTCCCTTACCCCAGTGGTGTACCATGACAGCCCTGGCCCACCTGGCAATCCCATTTCCCTTACCTGAGAGAGGAGCCCCCAGTAGCCCCCCGATGCTTTCTACCATCTGCACCAGTCCCAGGCCACAGTACATCCTTCCAGTTCCCACAAGTTCGGGCACCACGGAGAAGGCCACTGGGGTCAGGGCCCCTGAGGTAAATCCATAGGCCACAGCTAGAACTACCAGGGCTGTAGAAGCCTGAGCCACAGGGAACAGGACGAGTAACACCCCAGTCAAGGTAGTCCAGAGTATCAGGAGTCGTGCCACAGGTCCTGGAATGGCATCTCCCAGCCACCCAGAGGCCACACGTCCCACAAGGTCAGCAATGGCAGCCACTGAGAGTATGAAAGCAGCAGGCAGTGGGTCCCAACCCAGGTCCTGGAGATGGGCCACCAGATGGACATAGGGAATGAAGTAGCCAGTGTTGATCAGTGTAAGGGCAATAGTATAACGGAGGAAGGGGCCATTATGGAGGAGGGAGATGAGTTGGGCCCCAGGGCCACCCACAGCAGAGTCCTCAGCCAGGGATAGTGGTCGGAGGAGTGAACCACAGGCCACCAGGTGGAAGGAGAGGGCAGACACTAGCATCAGGGCCCCCCGCCAGGCATAGTGGTTGAGCAGCCACTGGAATAGGGGGGCAAATGCAAAAGAGGAGAGGCCCACTCCCGTCAGTGCCAGTCCCATGGCCAAAGATCGACGACGAGAGAAGTAACGGGACAGGCAGGCCAGGGTCGGAGTGAAGGTCAAGGCCCAGCCAGAGCCTGTCAAAAAGGAAGAAATGGGGTTGCGGACTTTAGGGGAGCTCAAGGGATCCAGTAATCCCAAGACCACCCAGCAGACTTTGCTCTGGAGTCCTACAGGCCTGGGTTACAGTCCAGGTTTTGACACTTCCTAGTTGTAAAGCTTTGTATGTTACATTTATCTCCCAGCCTCACTCTGCTCATCTGTTAAGTGGAGTTAACACTCTTAAGGAGAGGATAAAAATGTTTATAAAGTAACTAGCAGAGGGCTAGGAAGGTGGCTCAGTGGTAGAGCACTTGCCTTGCATGCATGAGGCCCTGGGTTCGATTCCTCAGCACCACATAAGCAAAAAGAAAAAGCCTGGAAGTGGTGCTGTGGCTCAAGTGGTCGAGTGTTAGCCTTGAGCTGAAGAGCTGAGGGACAGCGCCCAGGCCCAGAGTTCAGGCCCCATGACCGGACCCAAAAAAAAAAAAAGTAACTAGCAGAGAACTCTGGAGTTAGACCTCAGCTCTATTTCTGGCTGTGTAACCTTCCTTTGCCAAGTTGCATAAATGATTGAACGTTTTCTTTGTATACTGATACCTATTTCACCATCTTACAGAAATTCTTTTTACATTCCAATCCTTCTAGCCTTGGGCTTGTATGCTGGGGATTCATAACTTTCCTAGTACGTTTATCAACTTAGTTATTCCTTCTAAGAAATCTATTCAGGACACAAGTGCTACTCAAACTTTCCCTAGGCTTCTCCCTGAAGCTTTTAGGAGTGGGAAGAAAGTAAAAATCCAGGAGCCAAAGATCCAGGCATTGGCTCTTCCTGTCCTTGTCCGGCGTCTCACCTGAGATCAGTCCAATACTTAAGTATAGGTGGGTCAAGGAGGTAGCAAATGAGGCTAGCAGCATCCCCAGTGCAGCCAAGATGCCCCCGGTCATCACCACAGGCCTGGGCCCGAACTTCGTGCTCAGGGCACTGCCTATTGGGCCTGGGGAAGAGGAAGGCATTCTGCGATGTAGTCTCAGGCGACCTTCCCCAGCATCCTCCGGAACCCTTCGCCCTTTCCCTTTCCGGTCCCTACCTTCCCTCCCTCTTCTGAGGCTCACAGGACATCAGACCCAGGCACCAGCACTCACTTCCAAATTGCTGCACCGCGATTCCGATGGAGGCGATCCAGGAGACGCGTGCTGCCTGCTCCTCGAACGCAGCCACGAACTTCACGAAGAAGATGCCAAAGGAGCGGAGCACCCCGAACACCAGCGCCGACTGGAAGAACGCTGAGAGCACCACCATCCATCCCCAGCCCCCATCGGGGGGCTCAGTCCGGCGCGCCATCGGGGCCCGGTCCTCCACTAAGACCCCTGGCGGGAGCTGGCTCCTGAGCGCTCCACCGCTGCCCACCCACCCAATCTGGCGGCTGGGCGGCGAGCAGGGAAGAAAGCGGGTGGAGGGGAAGTCACTGAAGGGGCGATGTGAAGCGCTTGCGCCTTTCTCCGCAGGGGGCAGCCAAGGAAAGGGGCGGGGGGTGGGGGAGACGGGGAAGCCAGTGCCGACCGCCGCCAGGAGCAAGCGGAAGCGGTGCTCTATTTGGCCCGCAGCCGAGAAAATGGGCCCGATCTTTTGCACCCCAGACCCACAGAGAACGTGATAGCTTGGCCCCACCCCTGACGCACGCCTGTCAAGGTGTGGATTTCTTTGATTTTATTTCAGGGGCATGTAGGCACCTGGCTAAGGGGGCCCACAGTCAGACCATAACTAGCCAATGAGGACGCGGACTCGGGAACAGAGGGCGGAGCCAGAAGGGAGGGGCAAGATTTAGAACATTGTTCAGGCTCAGCAGTGGGCTGGGCGCATGCGTAAGGAGGGGCCCACTGGGTGACCCCACGTGACCACGGAGGGACTCTATCTGCTTTTGGGGTGCTGCAATCCCGCTTCCTCTTGGACGTCAACTCATCCACATTTCAGCAGCAAATACCCACGTGTGAGGCCAGTGGTGGGCAAACAGGATCTGGAGAGGCAGGCAATGACTTGCTTAGTGAAGAATTCTGGAATTGTCATGGGTATGTGGGGAGAGGACAGAGGTTGCGAGATAAGACACAACCGGGTAGAACACCTGCGGTGGCTAATGCAGCTAGGCAAACATGCAGCTGGGGAAATCTGGACTCCGTGGATTCCTGATGTCCAGAGGTCAAGGGAAAAAAGGAGGGGAGGGACTGGGAGGCTCAGTGGTAGAGCGCTAGCCTTGAGCTGAAGAGCTGAGGGGCAGTGCCTAGGCCCAGAGTTCAGGCCCCATGACCGGAAAAAAAAAAAAAAAAGGAAGAGGAACTGGTGAATTGTTGGACTCTGGCATTCATTTATATGATAACTCATTTCTCTCTTTACTGTTCCAACCAACAGGAAGCCTACAGGTCACTGGGACCCAAAAATAACTAGAGAGAGGAAAGGTGGGTGTAAGCTCACACAAGGTTCTACCAGCACAACCTACGGCCTCCTCAGTGGGGCTGGAACTTTTCTTTTCCTCCATCCTCTATTAAGTCATTTTCTAACTGCAGATTTTGATCTCATGATGGAGCATACTGGAGACAAGCTATAACCCAGCCAATGACACATGCCCTTCCCACTGGCCAGTACTCAAGTCCCTAATAAACACTACCTACATGTACTAATTAATGATTTGGGTTTCCTGTCCTTCATTTTAACTCCAGCTCCTCAAGTTCATAACCAGAGCAGTGGGGAAAGTTTGTGTGTGTGTGTGTGTGTGATTTTCTTGTAAGTATAGTCAACTAAGCACTGGCTAGTAGAGAATATGCCAAAGAGACAGAAATTGTTCTGGCCCAGGGGACTGGGAAGGTGGCTCAGTGGTAGAGCGCTTGCCTTGCATGCCTGAGGCCCTAGGTTTGATTCCTCAGCACCACATAAACAAAAAGAAAAAAGCCGGAAGTGGTGCTGTGGCTGAAGTGGTAGAGCGCTAGCCTTGAGCTGAAGAACTGAGGGACAGCGCCCAGGCCCAGAGTTCAGGCCTCACGACTGGACCCCCCCCCCCCCAAAAAAAGGAATTGTTGTGGCCCTATACCAGTTTTTAAGAGCTGAACTTTTATAACTTAATATCTGATCAAGACAATGAGCCTCTTACCCCGTTGGTAAGTTGAGGGTAATGATTTAGGGTTACCAAGGGACTTAAAAGTAGAAATTCCAGACATTTACATGCTTAGTTTAGGGCCTGACGTGTAACATGAAGAAAGTAATATTAGCTGGTCTTATTTTCAATAGGAAATTAAGCTATAGTGGTAGGTAAAAGAAGGCTTTAGTTTACTTTTCTCTTAGTTTAAAAAAATCTACTTCAGGTAATTGGTTTTAAAAGATTAAGACACACAATCTCAGCTTATAAGTGTTAGAAAGTACTGCAGAGATCACCTTAACTGACATTTATCACAGATGAGAACTTTAAGGCCCAGAGAGAAGTAATATCAGAATAACCTGTCAGTGGGCCAGAACAGACCTATACAGCCATCTCATTGCCACTTCTAGTTTAGACCTTACAGGATTCAAGTCCTATCCCATTTTCCTTGATGATAGTGATTGTGGGTCCTAAGCCATCAAGATCCCCAGCCTCTTGGTATTACTATTGGTTTTCTAGTTTTTCCCTGTTGCCTCCACAACTCAGGCAGGAAGTGACTTCATACCAGCAGGATGCAGGTGGCTCCGGAGAAACTTCATGAAGTCATTGGTTTCCTACACAATGAGCAGGAAGGCAAGGGCAGGGAGAGAACAAGGACCATTTGAAATGTCTAGTGGGATGGGACAGTGAAATGAGCTCTAAATCCAAGTTGTTATTTAGGAGGGAGAACTTGCTTTTTAAACCCTTAGAATCTTTTTCACACCTCCCCCCCCCCCCCATACATATGAGAGAACCCACAAAACAGTGAGTAGCAGGGAGAGGCTTCTTTATTCCAAGGGCACAATCTTGCCAGATCTACATTTCATATCAACACCTTCCAATTCCCCATCCAGTCTGCTAAACAGAAATCATGGCTCTTTCTAACATCTCCCCTCTGATTTTCCTATCTTCTTCAATTCTGTAATGGGGTGATGGGGAGTATGGTGGAAAGAGAGAAAATAGCTTTCTCACCAGTCCCCAAATGACAGTCAATGTCGCAAGTACTAACTTATCTTGAGGAAGTTCCACACCACCAATTCAAAAGTGTCTGTTACTCTTCACTCATGTTCTACTTAAATTTATGTCCCAGGGCAACAATACTCAGGACTATAAATTAAAGCTTTGGGTATTATCCAACATTTTAGACACTTCATCTAGACAAGGCACAATACTACTCTTAACTTTCTACCTACTTGGTCTACACCAGAAACTGAACCCTCCTCAATCCTTTTAATTCTACATGGCAATTTGGTCAACCAGAAAGGGCCTTTAGCCCATTAATCAACCAGTCTTTTAAATTTCTTAAACCTATAATCCCAACAATAATTCCAATCATAATCCCAAGTACGACAAACCCAGAATGGAACTCAGTCAGTCCCCCTTTCGTCTTCTTGTGGAAGGTTCTAGTGCATTCACTGGTTCCAGACAGGGATGCTGTGATAGGAAGACTAGATCACAGACACAGATTTTTCTAAAGGAAGAAAATTACAAAGAACCTGCAATTCAGAGAGACAAAGTAGCTTCTTAAATCTGGACACTTACCCACAGATGTCCAAAAATCCACTAAAGGAAGGGGTTCATCTCAAGGAGGAAAAAACTCCAAGGAATTCTTCAAATTCAGATCTTATGCAGTAAATAATGGTTCATGAACCTTTACCTTAGTTAAGGTAAGGAGTGTCATAATACTCTGCAGATCCTAACATTCTTAGAGATTGAGAGACATCCTAAAAGGTCACATAATCTCAGATTTCTTTCCCATGGAGGTATCAAGTCAGTGCTAAGAACAGGCCCAGTGGGAACATTTTGGGTTCAACTTAACTCCTTGAGGGTTCTACTGCGACAGATGGATGCACTGCAGTAAAACCTAGGTGATCAGCTTAAAGGGACCACTTACGTTCTGAACTATCTTGCAAGAAAAACTACCAACCAACCTTCACTTAGGTAGATGAGGCTTCAGGAGGCATTTATGATATTCATTTTTGGGTTCACCACAAACATTCCTATCATCCTTGAAGAAGATGGAAAAAATTCTAGCCTGCTAGAGAAGTTGCAATATTCAGAATACCAGAAAGGGTTCCTGACCCATACTATTTGTCTCTAGGGCTTGCCCTAGAAACAATAAAGGTTCTAGACCTAGAGTTAGAGGTATAGGACACAGAGAATCACTATTTCCATTTTAAACAAACCAACAAGCAAATAGGAGAAAGAACTCTAAAAATAAAAGTTATGACAATAACAATACAAGACACTCAAGCCAAAGGACAGAAGCCAAGTGATAATAATCTCTGCCAGCAGAGCTGTGACCTCACCAGAATTCTGTGTTTCAGGTCATTTGATTCCATTTGTGGAAGAAGTGGGAAATGCAACAGAATGAAGGTCCTGATGCTACCCACAGGACTTAATAAATAATATATTTACAAATAAACCAGATGAGATACAGGCTGCAGGTGGAGCCTGCAACCTTTCCCTTCCCCCAGCCCCTAGCTAAACAATCAGGATTGTAGGGAAGAGGTTTTGACCAGCAAAACGGAGGCAGATCTAGCTGGGATCTGCCACCCCTGCTCTCCCCACCAAAAGATTAAGGTGGCAGCAGTTTCTGATAGCAGAGTGGTCCTGTACACTTCTATATAAGACATATAGGGAAGCCAGGCCTGAACCTGCAGCTTTTCTGGCCCCCCCAGAGGGCGAGTAGCATGGGCAGAGACCCAACTAGGGCCCCCCCAGAATGTGATAGTGCACTTTCGTATTTGTAGCAGCTCCGTGTTTTTGGCGCAGATGTAGTCTCAGTTGACTCTTGTGCCGGAAATGCAGGCCACAGGGGTCGCACTGTGGGAGGGAAAACCGGGTCAGATCCCTCCCCTTCTAAAATCACCTTTCCTTGGGGCTTTGAGCAAGATTGTCCAGCCTTTCCCGGAGAATTAACCCTTTGGAACTCATTATCCAACTCCTGGGAGGGGGGAAGTGGTGCCCCCGGGAACCAGCTAGCAAAACTTGCCCACATCTGTTAGGCCCTCTCCCTAAAAATAAGGACCCAGCCCAGGAACTCAAGGACCCAATCCCCCTTATCCTCTAGGACTCCCCCAGGTCATCAAGCATTCTCAAAGCGCTCTAGGCTGGCCAGCAAGGCCCGATCCTCTCCCCGGAGAGGTGAATGGGAAGTAATTCTCAGGCCAGGCCACACTGGTTACCCACGTGGTAAGGCTTCTCTCCCGTGTGGATGCGAACGTGGCTCTTGAGAGTTTGTAGGTGACGGAAGCGGGTTCCGCAGGTAGGGCAGGGATAGGGCTTCTCCCCAGTGTGGATGAGCACGTGCGCGCGCAGATGCGCCACCTGCGGGGGGCGGGGGGAGAGAGGAGCCTCAGACCCGGCCCGGGGGCGGATTCTGCGCAGGCCCCGCCCCGCACGCCCTGCCTCCGAATCCTCCCGGGTGGAGACCCTCCCTACCTGCACAAACCGCGAGCCGCAGGTCTCACACTTGTAGGGTTTCTCTCCTGAATGGATGCGGCTGTGAGTTTTCAGGTTCGCTGGTCGGTTAAATCGTGCTCCGCAGATGGAGCAGTGGTAAGGTTTTTCCCCTGCGGGTGGGACAAAAGGAGGTCAGGAACTGTACTTACCCAGAGCAGTGGTGGGCATGAAGGCCAAAGTCCTCTCCTTCCTTACCTGTGTGCACAGTGCGGTGACTGGCCAGGTTGCCTTTGTAGCGGAAGGCAGACCGGCAAAGCTGACACTTATAGGGCTTGTCCTCGTCTCCCGGAGTCAAAGGGTTCAGTCCAGATGACCGCCCAGCCACAGCCTCACAGTTCTGGCAGCTGAAAAACTCACTTCCTGGGAAGGGAGTGAGCAGTGATAACCATAGTTAGTGACGGAGGGCTCCTTTGATGCTGGGAAAATCCTCAAACACACAGGATCGGGCTTTCTTTTTCCCAATTTATTGTGAAGGAGCTCATCGGACTTGCCCCAAGCCTGAGAGCTAGTGGGATCTGACCCCAACATCTGTCAGGTTCCAGAGGACTCTACAGGGGTGGTTATAGGTGAAAGCCCTTGTGAATGGATGGAGGGTACGGTTTCAATTTCTCTTGCACCACTCCGGGTCAGAAACAGACAGAGAGGCCCTGCCCCACCCTGAGCAGACAACTCATCCTCAGATAATACTAGGCCAGAAATTTTTATGTTTTTATTTTTTTTGTCGATTGTGGAGCTTGAACTCAGGTCTTGGGCATTGTCCCTGAGACTCTTTATGCTCAAGGTTAGTGCTCTACTACTTGAGCCACAGAAACACTTCTGGTTTTTTGAGTGGTCAATTGGAGATGAGAGTCTCATGGGGATTTTTCTGCCCAGTCTGCTTTGAACCGTAATTTTCAGATTTTAGCCTCCTGAGTAGCTAGGATTATAGGCATGAGCCACAGGTTGGTTCCTGGCTGGGCCAGAAAACTACTATGCAGTTCACGAAAAGCACCTAGGGGTCTTTAGAAAATACTGTTGGCCTGTCAGGTGCTGGTGGCTCACATCTGTAATTCCAGCAACCCAGGAAGCTGACATCTTAGTATCATGGTTTGAAGCCAGCCCAGGTAGGACAATCTGTGAGATTCTTACCTCCAATTAACCAGCACAAAAGCTAGAAGTGGAGTTGTGGCTCAAGTGGTAGAGTGCCAATCTTGAGAGTGAAAAGCTAACAGATAGCACCCAGGTCTTGAGTTCAAGCCTCAGTACCAGCACGCGTACACACACACAGAGGAGGTGACATCAATCAAGATGCACTGTATTCATAAACTGATTTGTTGAATGGTAATTCCTGTGCACAACTATTTTAATATAATAAGTATCCAGTCAAAAATACTAATGTGGGGGGAGGGGGGGGAGATGGGAAGGGATGGGAAGGGAAAACAGGAGGAGGCAACAATGCTTGATAAGAAATGTACTCATTATCTTGCCCATGTAATTGTAACCCCTCTGTACTGTATTTTCACACACACACACACACACACACACACAAAGAAGCTGGTAAAAAGAAAATACTAATGCCTGTTGCTTATTTCCAGACATTCAGATCTTTGGGGTGTGATATGAGTAATGGAGTCTGTAAAGTGTCCTGGGTGATTCTGATTTACAGTAAAGTTCAGAAGCCATTGCAATAGACCATATATATAGGCTCTTTTTGAAGCCTCTTGACTCAGACTGGCCTGAAGCAGAAAGGCTCTTACCTGGTGGTGGATGAGCCCGTTCAAAGGGTGATCTAATGGCTTCTTGAGCCCGAGGTGTGAGGAAATAGGGGGTATTCGATGTAGCTCCACATTTGAACTGTCCAGTGGTAGCAGCTGGAGAGAATCTAGGAGAGATTATGAGTATGTGATGATGGTGGTGGTGTTTTCTTTCCTGGAGAACTTAAGAGGTGAAGGCCTATCCTCTGCAGGTGAGTTAATATCAGCCAATGAGCCACATCATTGCAAGGTCCAAGTCGTTTTCCGCCCCCCCCCCCATACACATATACACTATCAGCCTGGCCTGTTAGGGCAAGCTAGTTATCTCCAGACCACCCACTCCCATCTACCTCCCTCCTGACCACAACCTACTCAAAATCGTTCTGCCTCTTAGCTGAGGCCAGCCTCTACAAAGTCATGGAATTTCCCATTCTGTACCTGCTCTGGGGGCCAGGTGTGGTTCCTTCTTCACTGCTGCTGCAGGCTTCATCTCCACTGGGGAGCCTGGCTTGGGGGCAAGGTTGATCAGAACTGGTCTCCCCTACAAGGCTTCCTGCTTGGGAGGCTTGAGAGTTTAGCACAATGAACTTGTACTTTTTCCAGTTGCAAGCTTTGGGGTCTGGGCTGGTTGGACTTGGGGGCCCTTGACTGCAGCTTCGAGATTCAGTAGGTGGGTCTGGATGCCCTTCTGATCGCCTGGGACTGCCAGGTGGAGGAGCTGTTGGGGGTGTGGGAGGTTCTGCCTCCAGAGGCCGTAGGGAGATGCCTAGAGGTTCATAGCTAGGAAAAGTGGTGATCATTAGTGTTATTTCTTTTATCATCATTATTATTTTTCCATGTGTTAGTACTAGGACTTGAAATCAGGGCCTGTAATCCTAGCTACTCAGGAGGCTGAGATCTGAGGATCGGTGGTTCAAAGCCAGCCTAGGCAGTCAAGTCCATGAGACCCTTATCTCGACTTAATCACTAGAAAACAGATAGTGGACTTGAGGCTCTAAGTGGTAGAGCACTATCTTATTCGCAAAAGAGCTGAGAACTAGGCCCTGAGTTCAAACCCCAGGACTGATAAGAGAATTTCATGGATTTTTCCTGCCTGAACTGGCGTTGTACGACACTCCTCAAGTCTCAGCCTATTTTTTTTTTTTTGGTCGGTCGTGGGGCTTGAACTATGGGCCTGGGCGATGTCCCTGAGCTCTTTAGCTCGAGGCGAGTGTTCTACCACTTGAGCCACAGAGACACTTCCGGTTTCCTGGTGGTTTACTGGAGATGAGTCGTGTGGACTTTTCTGCCGGGGTTGGCTTTGAACACTGATCCTCAGATCTCAGTCTCCTGAGTAGCTAGGATTGCGGACGAGAGCCAAGGGCACCAGGCTCAGTCTCAACCCCTTGAGCAGCTAGAGTTATAGGCTTGAGCCTGGGGCACCCAGCTCATTAGTGCTATTTCATACTCCTTGCCTTTGCCCGTGGCTGAGCCGGGAGAGCACAGAGCCAGGTCTCCCTCACCTGGCCTGGATGAAGCGGTGGCATGCTTGGACCACATGTTCCATTTGCAAGTAGGTAGCTGCTGCAAGAACTGCTGGTGCGGTGGCGGGAGAGAGGCGAAGCCGCGACGTGTACATGAAATCCAGGAGAGGAGCAAAACCTCTGGCTTCGGGGCCCCCGGGCAGAGAGAGCACGTCCACCCCCACTCCTGCTCGGCCCCGGAAAATTGAGTAAAAGAAGCCACTGGAAAGCGAGTAGGTAGATAGATCATGTTAGGGACCAGGAGCCCAAGGGGCATACCCATTGCTTTAGAAAGTCCCCCCTCCCCACGGCCACCCCCATCATCCCCAGTCCTGGGAGGCCCCCCTTCTTGCTCGTTGGAAGGTGTGGGCCCTGGATTCCCTCTAAGTTGCTTCTTGGCAGCTCGAGCCCCATCTGCCCCGCGAACCTGCAGGCGATGAGAACCGCCTTATGCGCCCGGAGGGGTTGCCCGCCGACCAGCAGCGTGACGTCAGTGAGGATCCCGCGCAGGCGCAGTTCGTTCAGATTGCCGAGTACGTCGGACGAGTGGCGAGTGAACTCGCGGACGTAGCCCAGGGCTCCCTCGGGGGCCGCGGCGGAGCCCATGGCGACGCACAGGCCTGCGGGGAGCAGGGAAGAAAGGGTTCGGAGATGCAGGCAGTCCCACAGATCTCTTTCTGCCTTGCTTTCGCCTCTCCCCGAGGTGCTGCCGGGGAACCGGGGCCTCCGGATTCCCCAGCACACGCAGCCCTACAGAACTCATCTAGTCCATTCTGCCCCTCCAGCTTGCGATCGCTCTCCTCCCTCTGCTGGATCCCAGAGCGCGGGAAGCCAGTAGAAGATTCCCACACAGCTGCGATGACGGTGATCATGAATCCTGCACGCAGCGCCTTCGGTTCGAGCACCGCCTGCCTTCCTTTCCCCGGCTCGCAGTGCGCCTGGGTCTCAGGTGCCTGGTCCTACCAAGTGACCACAGATGGCCTGCGGTCCACCATCCCTACACGCCCCAGACCCCCCCCCCTCCCCAAAACCAGAGTCCTGTATTCCTATCTAGTTCCCGATTTCTAGTTGGGCACAATTTTAGGGAGTTATGCCTAACTATCCTCAGCAAGGGTCAAGTTCTTGGGGGCGGGAGGGGGGGAACCCAAGAATCTGGTTCCCTTCAAGTCAGGTTCTTACCCCCGTCCTGCAGGGGCTGCGGTTTCTCTTCTCAAGGGGGGGCGGGTCTCTTTCCCCTCGAGCCTCGGCTCCTTTATCAGGCCGGGATGTCGGGGGCGGGGGTGGAGGTGGGGTGAACGCCTGGGTCCGTATCCTTCCTTCCTCCCTCCCTCTCCAGATGGCGAGCCCGGGGCGGGGTCTCCATCTCAAAGGCGGGTCCTCAGAAACGAGGGGTAATAGGAAAGTAGGTGCGTTGCTGAACTACCAGTGGCGCCGTGGATGAGGATATTGGAGTTGGGGGAGGAGAGGCGTGTTGAGGTTGGAAATGGGGAGGGGGGCGGGGAGAACATCTGCCGAAGGGCACGGAACGTTGAAAATCGGCGTGCTGTCTTTCAGAGCCTGTTCAAGGAGAAAATGAATACAACAACAACAGTCCCTTTTTTGTGTACTGTGTTAAGGGGGTGATGTGGGAACGCAACGCACCGGGTTTGGGGAGGTGTTGATAGGGTCGCGGGGTCTCAGACAGTGAGTGACAGGCCCTTCTAGCAGGTCCTATAAAAAGGAGGTGGGGGGGGGGACCTCTGACCGGGCGGAGTAGGAAGAGGGCGGATATGATTTCTAGTTAGTTTCCTTCCATTGTCCCTTGACCGGATGGCCCTTGCCAGCTGCTTCCCCTCGAGGAGGTGGGGAAAGCCCCGGGTGGGGGCCAAGAGATGCTCGGGAGATCTAGGCGTCCGGCTACTTGCTCCTGAGGACTGTTTCCAGAGGGAAGGACTCCTTTTCCCAGACGCTCGCTCGTCCGTCCTCCGCTATTTCCAGCTCACTACGGCCGAAACCTCCCGCCCGTTCGCTGCTCTTTGAGCCTGGCGGGACGCCGCGGTCCAGAGCCGCAAGCAAGCAAAGCTCGACAATGTCTGGTTCCTTCCACGAGGGGGCGGCCGAGTATCAGCCTCGCACGGCCCTGTTGCTCTCCCCCCGCCCCCCTGCTTCCCCTCCCACCTTCCCCCCCCCCCCCCCCCCCAATCCGGCAGCGGGTGCTCAGACCCAGGAACAGGATGGATTGGATCTGGGCGACTGAAACTTTTACCTCTTTTCCTAAACAGCAATTTCTTTTGCACCTTTCACTCTTCGAGGGGGTACTCTGCAAGAAGAGGTGGAGTTAGGGGATTGCGAGGTCTCTCTGGCTGGCTGGCTGGAGGTCTTTCTGAGGTGGAAAGCCCACAGGCTTTGGGAATGAGGGGAGTGGGTCGGACAAGGAGTGGAGCTTGTGCCAGAATTTTATTTTATTTTTACTTTTAGCTAATTAAGATACACTGTTAAGTAGGGCTTTGTGACACCCATTTATAATCCCAGTACTGGAATGCTCAGGCAGGAGGATTGTGACTTCAAGCTCAGCCTAGGTTACATTTTAAAAGGTAGACCTTGGGGCTGGGATGGTGGCTCAGTGGTAGAGTGCTTGCCTCTCGCATGCATGAGGCCCAGGGTGCAAATCCTCAGCACCACATAAGCACAAAAAGCCGAAAGTGGCACTGTGGTTCAAGTGGTAGAGCACTAGCCTTGAGCTGAATTGTTCAAGCCCCATGCCTGGGAAAAAAAAAAAAAAAGACCTAATATCTAGATGTCATCAGAGGCGATTTTTTAAGTGAAAATTAATATAAAAATTGAGTGGAATAAACTCTGAGAAAAGGAGGGGCACTGTGGGGGTGAGGGGAGAAGAAAGGGACATAGGCATGGACCACATCCTTATGTTTTTGTTTGGGGATGGCCAAGATTGATCTGGGAAAAAGGGCTCAGGTTAGAAGCAGGTTGGGGTTCAAAAGTGTATACAAGCGACCAACAATGGCTGAGCAGTGACCATGGAGCTGCACAAAAGAAAAGTGGGAATTGGGGACAGACAACTGAGGATTCAGGGTAATGGGGTATTACTTTGGAGAGTTACTGATTTGGGAGATGAGAGTTACTTTGGAGAGTTACTGATTTTGGAAGTGAGAGCTAGATTAGTGATTCTTTTCGATATCAGGATGGACTGTCAGCTGATCATCTCTGTAGTAACATTATTATAGAGCATGGAATTCATTGAGTCTGTTTTTATCCTTGAGAGTCTCTAATACTAAAATTTGAGAGGTGAATATGGATGCTACATTGTGGGGTTTTTTGGGGGGAGGGGGTCTGACATGCACACTTTAGGTAATTGTCTATTTCTATCATTTTGCACTACCAGTAGAGCCAGAGTACCCAGGCTGATTTGGGAGTCAGTCTATTGTAGTGCCATAGACATTTCAAGGCTGTGATTAGATTGCTGGAGAAATGAAATTCAATATGGAGCTTAAAAAATTACTTTGAACATGATGGGGAAGGAGGTGGGAGCAAGTGTAAAAGCTGTTGGGGGTTGGGGAGGACTGAAAATGAAGTTTTATATTTGAGTCTTATAGAGACTTACTTTGAGGGGAGACTATTCCTGTGTAGGCATGGATAGTCATGAAATTTCCAGAGGACAAACAATGTGAAGGCTGCCAAGGTAGAAGACTATAAAGTTTTGGGGTGTCTTTACTTAGGGGCGTTTTGTTACTCTGAACACACTTAGAGAAGGTAGGAGAGGGATGATAAAATGATTTGGAGATTTACCTAACATATTTCTAATTTGGAATGTCATTTGCTGATAACACCCTTTCACCCCGAATTCTAGAAATTTCTTTAATGAACCCCCAAAACAGCATAGCATTTGGAGGGAAAAAAAATCTGGAAAAGGCACATTGTCTCCTCCCGGACTTCGTAGTATGTGGCCTGGATAGATCTGAGACCTGAGGAGGAAAGGGTAGTTTCAGCCTCTGATCCTAAAGAGAGAGAGAGAGAGAGAAAAAAATCCCATTAGTGTGGGGGTAGGTGCAGGAAAATGGGGTGTCACTTGGCTAAGTGCACACCTCTGAGCAGGGCAATGCATTTGGAACTGTGGCTAGGAGGGGTCGTGGTGGGGTACAAAGAAGTGATTCCAGCACCCCGATCTTCTAGGACAAGAGCCCCAAACAGAAAGCAGGCAGAGAGGGACTGAGTATGAGTGAGCTGAGGGGGAGGGGTGCTCCACGGCAGCAAGGGGCTAGAGGCTAAGCCAGGCCAGATCTTCCCGCCTGGGTCCCGGCTCTCTCCGGCTCTCCTCCCCTCTCTCCCTCCTACCGCCCACCCCCCCAACCCAAGGAAAAAAAAAACTGCCTGTGCAACAGCAATGGCAGATTCCAATCCTCCAGGCTTCCCTAAACCACCACCGAGACCAGCCAGGGGGGAGGGGAGGGGAGGATCGGGCTTTGCTTGCTTCCTTGAGACAGGGGCAATGAACTTGACCTCCTGGCCCCTAGCCCTTTGAGGAGTGCCCCCCCTGTCTGGAAGCCAGGTGTCCTGGACCCTAGCCCCCCCGAGCGGGGGGGCCTGGAGAGACCGGGAGGAGGAAGGAGGGAGTGACTTCCAAAATTGGCATCGGGACAGAGCAGGGCTGGCGGGAGACAGACGAAAGACAGAATTTTCCTGAAAAAACGGGGGTATCTAAGGACCCCAAATTTGGAGAGCTAGTTCAGGACCGTCTTCCAAACATCCTTGATTTTTTGGGGATTTTTTGGGGGTCCCGGGACCCCTCTAGATGGGGTGAGGAATGTAGTGTTGGGGGAATCTGACTGGGGCATTGCAGCTGCCTCTCCCGCCGAGTTGGAGACGGATGGGCTGGGACGGGTTTTGGGGGGGGTGTCCCCAATTCTGACTTGGAGTGGAGGAACCCCCTCCAGAGTTCTCTTGTGGGGGTCCCCCCTCTCCAGGGCACTCCCCAGTCCCTGAGCCAGCCAAGAGGAAGGAGGCCAGCGATGCGAGTGGGGCGGCTCCTTTCTCCTGCACCCCAAATGTGAGGGATGCACCCCAAATTTTGCTCCTTTCAAAATAGGGGACCACCATCTCAGGGGAGAGTAGCTGAGGTAAGTGGGGAGGAAAGTGTCCCCTGTTTTCAGGAGAGACATGGCGGATGGGGGGAGGTTTGGAGGTGCGTGTTGGGGTGGGGTTGGGCTTTGTCAGTCTTGGAGTTGGGGGGATGACTTGAGAAGCTTTCTCTTATGCCCCTAAATTGAAGCCCTCCAGATGGAAACCAAGGCCTGACACCAGAGAGCCCTCCAACATCCACAGTCATTAGGATGGTGTTTGATTTCTTTTTTTACCCCCACCAAGGTTCTGCCGGGGTGGAAGCTAGGGCAGCTGTTTTTTTGGGGGGCTCTGGAGGGTAATAGTGAGGAGCAAGAGACCTTGGCAGGGCTTGCTGGGGACAAATAGAGCACTTCGGGAGAAATTCTGGCATCTTCAGGGGCCTAAAAAGACTGCATACATACACCATCTTAGATCTTTTTTGATTGCTAAGAGTTTTGGGGGGTGTGTCGGAAGGGGGGCAGTAAAAGGTGCGATGGGATATAGGAGGATAACACTGGGGTTTTACAGTGTATTATTTTGATTGCAGGAGGGATTTGGCCCTTGGATTTTTGCACTCTGGGAGGTGCTTTTAAAAATTCAAGTCCTGGACAGGAGAAAAAGGCTGGGGAAGGCCTAGAGTTGGGGGATGGGAAGAGGCATGTTTGTCTCTGCTTTAAACGTGGCTCTCAGGGGTGGGCCTGCCTGCCAGGGCCTAGTGGATAGACTGAGGAGAGTTGCTGTGGGTCTCGGATACGGGCCTTGGGGGGTCATGGGGAATGAGAACAGCACTGGGGTCACAATACCTGGCTCCCAGGTCCAGATGCCCCTCTTTCAGGGCCCTGCTGTACCCCTTTCCCCCCTGGCCTCCATTTCCTGCCTTTGGCCTCCATCTTGTGGCAGGAGCAGGGCCCAAGGCGACTTCCGGCCCCCCTCTTCCAACCATGTTCCGGCCCCACCACCTCTGGACTGCCAACTCCCAATCCTGCAGTCCTTGGCCCTCTGTCTCTTCTAGCGTTATTCTTGGGTTCTGACCTAGGGAGGGGAGGATTTCAGACACAGGAAGCCTTGGGGCCCTGCCCTTGCTGAGGCAGTTTGTTGGTTTCCCCAACTCCCCTATTTTCTTTGCCCGTGTCCCCCACTCTAGAGCTCCCCTATGCTGAGTTTCTACAGAGGGAAGATGGTTCTAGTCTTATCAAACTGAGCTCCGAGCCAGGTCCCTCTTCCAGTTGCCTGCTCAACTCCCGTCTGGTTCCTGGTTTTCCCTAACTTCTTTGGGACCATGTTCACCTTTTCCGCCTTCCTTTATTTTCCTGCTCTTGGTGATGGAGGATTTCACAGCCCTGTGTTGTATTTTCCTCTCAATCCATCCCAGCCAGTCCTGCTCCCGCCCCAGCAGCACACTGTGGTTTGTACGGCACTGTGGCCACGTCCAAACCACACTGTGGTGTTAGAGCGAGGGTAGGGGACACACAGCTGAGGCCTGGGCCTAGAAAGCCATTCTGGAGAAGCCGCATCTGGGGCCTCATGATAAGCTCTTGCAAGGTGGGGAAGAAGGTATGAAAAAACCTCTGTAAAGCCCCCAAGGCTGTCTCGGAAACACTGCCTTTCAGCGACATGGAAGTTCTGGCTCCAGAGAGCAAAGACTCCAGTTTTTGTTGCCCACACCCAGCTCCCCTGGCTCTAGCAGCACAGAAATATTGGCACTGGGGAAACAAGTCTGCCAATATTGGCTGTGCTGCTCCAGGCAGGGTGGTGAGAGCTACAGGAGGGGCCTGAGGCTGAAGAGAGAAGAGGGAGCAGCAACTGACAGCACTATGGTGGGAGAAATCTTTATTGTTGTCTGTATAAAAATGTCCATCTGATGGAGGTGAGGGGGGGGACAGACGGTTCTTAGGAGGTACCAAGCAGATTGCTCCAGCAGCCCTCTGATCCTCTCTCCTGAAGGCTTTGCTCAAAGTTCCATGTGATCCACAGGTCCAAAGTGAACAGTGAGAGGGTCAGAGGTGGAAGGGTCAGCAGGAGAGTAGAGGAACATCAGTAGAGGTCGGGAGAAGGCCAGAATCCAGCGTCAGGCTGTCTGGAACAGGAAGTAAAATGAACGGAGATGGAGCAAGACTCAAGCAGGCTTCCAAGACAATGCCCACCTCCCCAGATAACCTGTTTACTGACCCAATCGCCTGCACTGAGCACCTTTCCTTCCCAAGCCCTTGCACCAATGTGGGAGGAGAAGGACTCCTACCCTGGTCAAAGTTGAGTTTCTTGGCGGGAGGAGTTTCTCCTAGCCCTTCAATATCCACCAGGTCACTGTTGGCGTCGGAGTCGTTCAGAGCACTGAGGGTCACATCTGGGAGGGGGCATAGGCTAGGTTCTAGGTCCCCAGCTTTCCAAAGCTTCCTATTTTACTATCCCTCCCCCCTCTGGAAACCACCACAGGGAAAGGAACATATATCTGTCCTTTGACCCAGGCCCTATCTTCTCATTGACCTTCAGATGGGATCTTTAACCTCTACCCTAGTCAGCAACTCCACAGCCCTCACCAGTCTTCTGTTTCTTCAGTGCAGGACCGCTGGCATCAGGGGCACTGGAACTGCTGCTGAGTGGAGGGGCAGGTGCAGGAGGTGACAGGACACCAGATGCCACCTTTTTGGGACCTTTTTTGGGTGACTCCGCTGGAAGAGGGATGCCAGAGTCCTCATATACTTTTCGTTTCACAGTGGCCTTTATCTGAGCCCTGAAGAGAAGAGGCAGCAGGTTAGTGAAGGCGTCACCAGAGAGAGGCTGAAGGAAGAGGATATGGGAAGGGGTAATGGGTTATTCTGAAGGAATTTTAGGAGCTCCTTCATAAGAATCCAGGCCAGGGCTCCAGCCCACTGGCAGCGTTCTCATTTTACCTGAAGCTTTTCACTTATGTAAAGCCAATAGGATGAAAGAGTGGAGTCCTTGAACTAACTAGCCAGAAAGGACCACTTCCTAATTCTTTTCTGGGAGAGATGTATGAATGTGTAGGGCTACCAGGTAAGGCTTATTGATTTACAGGTAGGTTGAGACTTAGATCCTGATCAACTAGTTCAGAATCACAATAACCCTAGAAACATGAGTGCATATAATTACCAAAAAAGTCCCACTATTAAATATAATAATCGAATATATTGGGCACCCTTAAAATTGTATTCTCAGACAATCCTTGTTACTACAGCATTGTCTGAACTTCTGAAATATGGTGACAATTCTTACATTTTCCCCCCCAATCTTCAAGGGAATGCTAATAAAACTAGCAACAAAATAAGAAAGATGTGCAATCAGAAGGGAGCTCTAAGGAAGACGGGTGATAGGTACAGAGGAAGCAAGTTGCCCCACCCCCCCTTGCTCTGCAAGCCACCCTCCCTCACACTGTTCGTTCCTTGATGACACAGCTGATGTGATTAAGATCGTCCCCAAATCGCTTCACAGCAGCCCTCAGCATCTCTATCTCCGTGTCCGTCCACTTGGCACTGTCGGAAGGGGGAGGAGGATAGCAAAAAACGGGAGGAGGACGGTGTGGAGCTAGCCCATGGACTATGCATCCCACAGCCAAGCAGCCCCCTCCCACCGATCTGAGGATCCCCCAGGGGGTCTCCGGAGGCTTCCAACTACATGAAATTGTATCCATTTGTCACTTTTGAACTTGTCTCTCAAAACGTGCAAGAGCTGTGACAGCCCACGGAAACCAATTCAACGCATAGGGGCTTTACAAACAATCCCTCAACAGTCTGCAGCTGAGGGAGTCCCAATGCGGGGGCCAGAGTAACGGTCGGTAAACTGTCGATTCGCAACAGGGGAGTAACAGAAATCTGGGTCGTGGACCAGTCTGTGTCTTCACCTGCCATTCATTCACTCATCCGAGAATCGTTTATTAACACCTACTCGGTGCTGTGTCAGGCACGAAGAGCAACTAACCCTTGTCCCTGCGCTACATAGGGGCCGTGTCTGTGACTGAGTGCCAGCGTCCGCTCTCGGCGTCCACGTCCCAGCCCGAGCTCACGTACCCCGCTGGGGAAGAGTCGGCCACTGGGTGCAACTGCATCGTCAGCTCCCCGAGCTTCGTGAACGCGGCGCCGGCCGCCGAGAAGATCTCTCCGACCTGGGGGCGGGGCGGCGCGTTACAGGGGGCCGGCGACGCCGCAAACCGGCCGGCCCTGCGCCCCTAGCCCCACCCCAGGCTCGGGCCCGCCCGTCCCCCACTCATCGCGGAAGACACCAGAGCCAGGCAGGGGGCCCACCCCCCCGTGGCCACCAGGGAGCGCTGTCCGGGAGGGAGGTCGAACCTTTGTGGACGCTGACGTCATGGCCCCCGCGCACCTCCTAACGGAGACGCTCCGCCGCCGCCACCACGCGAGCCAGGACCGCGGAGAGCCGGTCGACCCGGCCGCTCCGGCCCCCGCGCAGGAAGTCCCGCCCTCCCCGCAGCTGATTGGCCCGCAGCTGGTCTCTCCCCGCCCCACCAACCGCCGTCACTTAGACTACCACGGCGCTCCGGGGCAGGAGCGGTGTGGGACTCCGCCTCACTTCCGGCCGGCTTCACTTCACTTCCGTCGCTGAGAAGGGACTCCCCATCTTAAAGGCCGAGCCGAGGCCCGTCCCCCTCACTAAAGCACAGACACGAGGTTTGAGGGAGCGGTCGCTGTTTATTGTGGCTCGAGACTAGGAGAAGGGAGCAAGCGGACCCCTTAGTTGGGGCGGGACGCCAGAGATTAGAGAACCAGGGATCCCACCTCTCGACAGGGAAGCCTGGTTCCGCGGAGGACGCCGGTGGGGTGGGGTGGACCAGGTGAGGCTTGGGAGTCTTTAAATAGAGGAGGCCGGTGGGGGGGAGACGGGAGCGTGATCTAGCGCACCATGTATTCTTTGCGCTTATTGAGTCGAACTTGGCAGAGAGAGAAGCCTCCGAGGAGGAGGTAGAGGCCCGCGGCGATGAAGCAGTTGTAGCTGACTTGCTCGTAAAGGTTGTATATGCTCTGTGGGCCATTCCTGAGGATGGCAAGCGGCAAACATTAAGAACGTCTAACGGGGTATTTACTATGCCCAAAGCACCATCCTAAGCACTTTTACTTGTATTTGTCTTGGTTTTTCTTTTTGTGTGCTCGTACTGGGGCTGGAACGAGGGCCTGGGCACTCTCAGCTTTATTGCCCAAGGCTGGCGCTCTACCACTTGAGCCACAGCTCCACTTCTAGCTGATCAATTGGACATAAAAGTTTCACGGAGGGCTGGGAAGGTGGCTCAGTGGTAGAGCACTTGCCTTGCATGCTCGAGGCCCTGGGTTCGATTCCTCAGCACCACATAAACAGAAAAACCTGGAAGTGGCGCTGTGGCTCAAGTGGTAGAGTGCTAGCCTTGAGCTGAAGAGCTGAGGGACAGCGCCCAGGCCCAGAGTTCAGGCCCCACGACCGGACCCCCCCCCCCCCAAAAAAAAAAAAAAAAAAGAAAAAGTTTCACTGACTTTTCTACTTAGGCTGGCTTGGAATATAGACTATCACATCTCAGCCTCCTGAGCAGTTAGGATTACGGTGTTGAGCCACCGGCAGAAATTAAGAGTCTCACGGGCTTTCCGGACTAGCCTGGCTCTCAACTTTGATCCTCGGACAGGACATCAGCCTCCTGCATACCTCGGATTACAGGCGAGAGCCACGGGCGCCAGGCTTTTTTTTTTTTTTGACAGGGTTCTGCTATGTTACAGGCTGGCTTCAGATTCCTGATGCTACTGCTTCTGTCTCCCCAGTGCTGGGATTACAGGCATGCACCATACCTGGTTATCTTTTTAAGTATTATTTTTGGTGTTGGCCCTGGGGTTTGGGTTCAGGGTCTGAGCATTGTCCCTAAAGTTTTTTTTGCTTAAGGCTAGCACTCTACCTTTTGAGCCACAGTTCCATGTCTGGCTTTTTGGAAGTTAACTAGAGAAAAGCCTCTCAGGCTCTTTCCTGCCTGGCTGGCTTTGAGCCTTGATCCTCAGGTCTCACCCTCTTGAGTAGAAGGATTACAGGTGTGAGCCACTGGCATCTGGCCTCTTAAATTTTATTTACAAATATGTGGGATGCATTCTGCTACAGTACTCATTTTGCAAAAGTAAAATTCTTAGAGGCCACAGTATGGCTGCTGAAGCCTGATTTCAACACATGCAGTAAACTACATTCCATTTCACTCCTCCCTTTTTTCTTCTTTTTGGTGCTGGGGACTGAACCTAGAACTTCACATATTCAGCATCCCTAGCCCACTCTCAACTGCTTTCTAAAGCGAGCATCTCTTCTCTTCCAGTTCCTTAACCTCACTCAGGACTCAAGCATTCATTCTTCCTCCAGCAATTTCTCACCCATTATTTTAATAGTAGGCCTTGTCAAGCCCCCACTTGCACCCAGTCTCACATCCCATAGCCAGATCACTTACTCAAAATCTTTCTCCGTGAATGGGACATCCTCAATTAAGACAGCAGAATGGACATTGAAAAATATTCCGAGCATTATCTGGGGGGCGGAGAGGGGAGAGAAAAAAGGAATAGATAGGTAGTCAAGCTCAGGCATCTGACTCTGGTCATTTCCTAAAACCCTCCCCTTTTCAATGTTGCCCCAACACCAGCATCTGGGATTAACCTGAAAAAACTAGAAGCAGGAGTGGTTGTGGCTGGATTTGGACTTGGCCACCTGATGCAGGGTGTGAGGTGGAAACAAATGGCTGGGATAAGGGTGGGAATAAGTGAACAACTTGTCATTTCTAAGAACCTGCACTATCCTCCCCCCCCAACCACGTCATTATCATGGGACCAAGCCAAAGAAGTGAGGGAGAACCCACTTCATATTTCTGCAAGTGATGGTGGGTAGAAACAAGACCCAGCTACCCTTTTACCCTTTCCCCCAAGACTGTAATTTCAATTGAACTCAAGCCTATCTCAGGATCCTAGCTTTTCTCTTACCTTGAGAGGTCGGCAAATTTACCAGCCCTGGCTCCCATTCCAGGCTCCAAGCCTTAGAATCCACTCGCTACAGTTCCCCATTTTTCGACTATGTATCTCCTCTTATTTCCAGTTACCTCCCCAACCATCCCCTTAGCCTGCTGGCGGCGTTCTAAGGCCCGGGTCTCCTGGTATTTCAGCCCTCCAAGCCCGGAGCCCCTCGGGCCCTCTCGGATCCTTGCAGGGCAATCCCCTCACCAACATGATCACTCCCCAGGCGCTGAGGACGATGCCGCAGGCGGCCAGTTTTGGCCCACAGCACAGGAGCGACGCCATGAGGGAGTCGGGGGGGTCTCCCGAGTGTGAAGGGGAAGGCGGAAGCCGTGAGCGATCCCGGACGCGCGAGGCCGGGAGGGGGATTTGGGAAGTGGAGCCGGCCGAGGGCGGCGGAGGGGGCGTGGTCACGGGCCCAAACCACCTTCTCCGGGGCGGCAGGGGAGACGGTCGCCTTGGGGCGGGTCCCCTAGGGTTTTGGCGGTAGTGTTGCAAACCTAGCTATTTCACCTTAAAAATCTTTTCTGGACCCACATAGCGGGAGCCTGAATTTCAGAGGGGAGAGCCTCCGGATTCTTGGTCCGTCCCCCAGGTTGGAATGGTAGGCGCTAGCAGGTCACGTGACCAGATTTGGGCGGTCACCTGACGAGTAGTGAGCCGTCTCCCCCCCCCCCCCCCCCCCCCCCCCAGCCTCCAGAGAAGTCTCGGCTCCGGTCGGCTTCCTGGTGCACTGGGTCGTGATCTGTTAGGGTGAGAGGCGTGGGATCTTGTAATTTTCCCTGGTATTCCTTTGATGGGGAACTGGTAAGTGAGGCGGGGAGATTTGTTCCGAGAGGCCGCGCGCCTGTGGCGTTTCCATTCACGATTCCCTCTTTGACACTGTAAAAGGAGGTGGTAGCACCCTTCGGAAGCCGTTAGGACGCTTTGAAGTGGCGGAGAGTTCTTCAGACTTCAGATATTTCACTTAACTAAGCGTATTTGAAATACTTTATAGTTCAGGACAGATAGTAGGCTAGGGGAAACCCGGGGAAAGCAGACTAAATGAGCAGGTAATGAAGGCGAGAAAGGGTAAGTTTACAAATATGTCACTTCCCTGTTAACCTCCCTGTAAACTGTCAGGTCCTTCGAGTAAAATAGATTAAAAAAATATGAACAAGCCATAAAAAAGCAAAAAAAGTTTTTTTTTTGTTTTTTGTTTTTTTTTGGTCAGTCGTGGGGCCTGAACTCTGGGCCTGGGCGCTGTCCCTCAGCTCTTCAGCTCAAGACGAGCACTCTACCACTTGAGCTACAGCACCACTTCCAGTTTTCTGGAGGTTTATTGGAGATCAGAGTCTCACAGACTTTCCTGAAAGTCCGGGCTGGCTTTGAACTAAGATCCTCAGATTTTATCCTCCTCAGTAGCTAGGATTACAGGCGTGAGCCACCAGCGCCCGGCTCTAAAAAAAAAAAAGTTTGTAAAGCCGGGTGCTGGTGGCTTACAAAAAAAGTTTGTAAAGCCGGGTGCTGGTGGCTCACGCCTGTAATCCTAGCTACTGAGGAGGCTAAAATCTGAGGATCGCGGTTCAAAGCCAGCCCGGACAGGAAAGTCTGTGGGACTCTTATCTCCAACAAACCACCAGAAAACCTACAAGTGGCTCTGTGGCTCTAGTGGTAGAGTGCTAGTTTTGAGCTGAAGTGTTGAGGGACAGCACCCAGGCCCAAAGTTCAAGCCCCATGACTGACCAAAAAAAAAAGTTTGTAGGGGTCGCTAGTGAGAAATGGAGATAGTTGAAGAAAAAGTTTCTTTTTAAATGCTAGTGTTTGAACCTAGGGCCTCAGGTGTGAAACACAATCTTCCACTGAGCTTGTACCTATTCTAGTAAGGGCAATGACCACATCATAATTAAGAGAGATCATTTAGTTCTTTTCTTTTCTTTTTCTTTTTTTGGTCCGGTCCTGGGCCTGAATTCTGGGCCTGGGCGCTGTCCCTCAGCAATTCAGCTCAAGGCTAGCTCTCTACCACTTGAGCCACAGCACCACTTCCACCTTTTTTTTTTTTTCCTGCTTAGGATTGAACTCAGGGCCTCATGCATGCAAGGAAAGCGCTCTACAACTGAGCCACCTTCCCAGCCCCATCATTTAGCTCTTGAGGACCAACCCCAACCAAAGATTGTCATGGACTAATGTAATATTTTCCCATTTATTTTGTGTACGTAGTGTGTATGTATGTATGTATATATCTATGTGCCTTGGTGCTTGAACTCATGGCCTGGGCATTGTCCCTGAGCTTTTTTCCCCCCTCAAGTCTAGTGCTCTATCTCTTGAGCATAGCTCCAGTTTCAGCTTTTTGATAGTTAACTGAAGATAGAAGTTTCATGGGCTTTCCTGACTAACCTTGCTCTGAACTGCAGTTCTCAGATCTCAGTCTCTTGACTAGCTAGGGTTACAGGTGTGAGCTACTTGTGCCCAGCTGCATATTTTTTAAAGGGTTGTGAAAGAGAACTTGGAATTTGGAAAGCACATAGAGATCACTGAGCATTAAAGGGGATGTGAAAGTGGCTTTGATTTTTGTTGTTGTTGTTGTTGTAATTGATTTTGTTTTGAAACAGGATAGTATGAAGCCCAAGTTTGCTTGAACTGTGAAGTATCTTTATAGTGAGTGCTAGGATTACAGCTGTATACTAACACATTGGCTGCAAAGTGCCTTTGAATCCAGAGTTTCATATTTCTTTCCTTCTGGAGTGTCTGTTGCAAAGGTTTTCATTATGGGCTAAGAACAGCTTTCTTTTGGGGCATGTTAGTAGTTCATATCTGAATAGGAGGAACAGGAATGGAGGGAAAATTGTCAAGGAACATAGAAAACTGCAAGTTGGCCACCAAGCATGAAGTCCAGTTCTTGTAGGGAGAATTAGCTGAGGAAATCTTTTCCTCCAAGTCCTGCTCTTGGATGTTTTGGAAGTGGAGATAGGGCCTCAGGCTGGTGTAAGGTTAAAATTCATTCTGAAACTGATGCATGACCACAAGCAAAGTGCATTGAGCAAATGGTAGAGGCAGCAGAAATACAGCCAAAACCTCACTGTTGTCCAAACAAAACACCTCACCCTAAGTAAATCCCAAACAAAAACAAAAAAAAAATAGTTATATAAACCAAAAACCATGTTCGTAGCACGTGAAGTTTATATCTCAGTGTCCATAAAGTTTTATTGAAACAATCATTCATTTGCTTACATAATGATACAGTGAAAAAAAAAACTGAGTAATTATGGCAGAGATTGTATTGCTTAAAATGCTCTCAGGCTCTTTCCCAAAAAAAGGTAGTGCACTTTGGGTGAGTAGAATTACTGATGTAAGAGAGTTTAATTGGGAGAGAATTAGAGCCTTAGCAGTAGAGACTTGGAAAAGCATGAAATCAAGATGGAAATGTTCTGAAGTTGCTGTGGAATCCAGGTGGGGTCATGCTAGGTCTCAGATTGTGATACTGTTCTCTATGAGGCTGGGCTTCAGATATTCGTAAGGCAATTCAAGTTGTTCATTCCGAACTGTAATCTCATTTTCCAAGTTTTCCAGATCTGCATGGAACTGGCTTAGCACAGCTTTGGCCTTGGGGCTTGAGAAATATTTTTCTTTGTGATGTCCCAGCGGCACCTGAGACAGAAAAGGGGATAAGAATAAGTCAGGTTCTAGTCTGAATACTGAGCCACCTAGGATTCAGCCTCACTACAATATTCCCTTTCCAATAATCATTTCCCTCTCATTAGGATCCCCTCTTACCATGTCTGGCTGGTGACGACCCAGATGCCATGTGATGGTCATTTGAAGACAGGACTTCTGGATATCAGGTAGTGACCTCATCAACGTGGCCATTGTCACATCCTCCTTGGTGGTAGGTGGGGGCATCCTCATTGTACAAGGTGCATTAGGGACCCAGGCATACCAGTCCAGCTGGGGGAAGAAACTGTAATCCTAGGACCCTAGAACTTAGTAGGGCTTGAGTTTCCCATCACTCCCTTGGGTCTCCCAAGGTCCAGACACTTATCTTCGGGGACCTAAGCTTTCAGCTGTCCATACCTGGCCCTTGTTGATGGCTGTATGCTGAGCAGTGCATGTGAAGACACACATAGTAAGGAAATGGCAGAGTTGAGCCTGGGACTGGATGGAGATAGGGAAACCTGGCCAGGAAAGGAACAGGATTTAGAAACTTCAGCATAAGAAGAAAGAAATGAAGGGTGATGGCTCACTAGAGTGTCTTTTAGAAGTTATGGGTGTTTGTTCCTTTGTTCGTTTAATTATATATATTTACATAATATAGGGGCTTCACTCCTGGCCTAATTACTTACAGCTTTGTTACACTGAGCAAATTACTTTATCTTTCTATACTTAACTTTTTTTTCATCTGTAAAGTGTGGCTCATATTTGCCTTTGTAAAGGAAGTACTGTGTTAAAATCACCTGTTCTATAATAAGTACTCAACAAATTATAGTTATTATTGTCATTATAGACAGGTTAGAGCCTGAAAAGGTCTGAATTATCAAGTATCCCTAGCCCCAAAAAGAATTTAGGGATGTTCCAAGACAAGAAATTGTATCTCTCAGTTATAAGATAGGGAGTAAGAGAAATCCTGGATTCCTATTGTCACAGCTAAGAGAGTTTCTTCAAGAGTTATCTCAAGCCACTTGGTTTACTGTGGTTGTAGGAGCTCAAAAGCCAATAATCCTATCAGTTAAGTGGAACATATATATTTACTTGCTTTTTTTTTAGTGCCAGTACTGGGACTTGAACTCAGGTGCTATCCCTTGGATTTTTTTGCCCAGTGCTGATAGTCTACCACTGAGTCGTGTCTTTACTTATAGCTTCTTTTTCCTGGTTAATTTGAGATAAGAATCTCAGGGACTTTACTGCAAGGTCTGACTTTGAATTTCAATCCTCAGTCCTCAGCCTCAGGATTACCAGTATGAGCCAACAGTGTAAGCTTTACTCCCACTTTATAGATAAGGAAAATCAAGACCAGCGAAATTAAACTGCTTGCCAGGATCTCCCAGTTGGGGAAAGCAAAAGTTGTCCCTAAATTTTGGGCTCTTTCTTGACTGATTATCCATTGCTCTTTTTTATTATGTTATACCTCCTCTAAAAAGTCTGTCAGGAACTAGGCAAAGATGAGCTATGGAAACTGAGGGAGATTAAGAGGGAAGGAAGAATGGGAGGAATTAATAGAGGTTTGAGTTAATGTATATGTCATGGACTGAATGTTTCTGTTCCCCACCAAATTTGTATGTTGAAACCTAATCCTCAATGTGGTATTATATGGACCTGTACCCTTTAAGAGGTAATTAGATCACGAAGGAAATTTTGAGAATGCCATTAAGTGCCTTTATGATAGGAGTCCCTCTTTCTGCCATCTGAGGGTCTGAGGAGAAGTTGCCTGTCTACATCCTGGAAAAGGGTCCTTACCAGAACCTGACTAAGCTGGCACACTTATCTTGAATTTCTTGGATTCCTGGACTGTGAGAAAGAAATTTATCAGTCTATGAAATTTTGTTATAGTTGCCCAAACTGACCAAGACACTGTGAGTATTTACTTCAAATTTCCACATGTAGATAGAGTTTGTTGAGAAGTTGACAAGGGAGCTTTTGAAATGAGGAGCTTGAGGGTCAGGCCTGATAAGCACTAGAGAGAGTTTGGTTCTGGAAGGGTGAGGTAGTATATCACAGATTCCTCAGAGAGAGGCCCTCTCAGGAGGAAAGGAAGTTGCTCATATAGGAGTTGGTCAGTTTAGCTCCTTAGTAAAAGTTTATAGTTGTCCCACCGAAGTAGCAGATAGAATTTAAGGTGTTGGTCTGAGGTATGAGAGGCAGTTGGCTGTAAGATGGCTCAAAGAAATGCAGGCTGGAGGGGAGGATGAACCTAGGAATAACCCAGGAAAGGTTTTTTGTTTTTTGTTTTTTTTTTTTGTGGATGGTGGGGCTTGAACTCTGGGCCTGGGTACTGTCCCACAGTTCTTCAGCTCATGACAAGTGCTCTATCACTTGAGCCACAGCACCACTTCCAGTTTTCTGGTGGTTTATTGGAGATGAGTCTCATGGACTTTCCTGCCTGGGCTGGCTTTGAACCAAGATCCACAGATCTCAGCCTCCTGAGTAGCTAGGATTACAAGCATGAGCCACCACTGTCCGGCTGGCTGTTTCTTCTTTAGAGATTAAAATATGAGGGTTAGAGGCATGTAGGATGTATGAATGGAGAGCCAGATGGGCCAAACCCAGAGCCCCAGAGTTCAGGATATTGAGTTTAGGTTTGACCCAAAGCATGTACAGTACTGAGCATACAGCTACAAATGTCGTTGTGCCCTGGCAAGTGCGCAATATGCCTGGCCCCTGTGTGTGTGATAGACATAGCAGGCAGGAGAAGGAAGGGAAAGCTGTGAAGGATCATCATGGCCTTTGGTATGAAGTTTTTACATTTATATCATCAGGTAGGAAAATAAGAGAGCCATGAAGACAGAGGGGCTGGGCAAAAGCCCTTATGGCTGTGGCTCTGGCCTGTGATTCATGCTCCATGCATGGCAGATTATGGGTATAACTGGGAGGAGGTGGGCAGGAGTAAAGGTTGATGGCCAGAGTCTCTGCAGTGGACAACCTGAGGGTGTCTGGAATGATTCTAGTGATAGAAAGTGTGAATAGTATTTAGATGCCTTCGTATATGGAGGAAGAGGTGTGATGATGATTAGGGTCTAGAAGGGATTTTGGCAGAGTTTTGCAGGAGCTCCTGGCTCTGGGATGGATCTTACCTCGGTCCTGAGCCTGGCACAGCCCCACCTCAGTTATCTCCCGACACCAGGCCTGCAGCTCAGGGTCCCCTCTCACAATGTCATCCCTCTGGTAGAAGAGATGGACGATGCCCTCCACATACCTGTCCAGAGACGTTAGCTGAGCTCTCTAAGACCATAATGCTCCAGCTTCTGTCCTTTGTTCTTTGTTTCTGTAGCCTCTGATCAGCTAACTCAAACTGCACCTGTATCAGATCCTAACATGTTTGCTTTTTTGAGCTTTCTGCCCCTCCTCCTTGCAGTGTCAGGGATCAAACCCAAGTCCATGCATGTACTAGACAAGCTCTCCACCACAGGAGCAACATCTCCAGCCCTCTTGATGGTTTTTTGTTTTTTGTTTGGCATACTAATTATTGTAAAAGGAGAAGATACAGGACAGTAGTTCTAAGAATTCCTTATCTGTGGTTGCTAGCTATCCTAAGACAATCCAGATTTTTCAGATTCCTTGATCTCCTCACCCCTTCTCACCTCAGTATCTTGCCCCTGTTCTAGTTTCATTTTTAGACTTCAGTCATTGTCTCCTCACTCTTCTTCTTCTCTCTTTTAGTTTTAACACTTTAGTTTTGTCTTACGCTGATATCAAGCCAGAGCCTGTTTTCTATCTCTTCTCTCCATTTGTTAGCTCCTTCTTACTCACCGGGCAATGATTTCCCATATTCGTAAAGCATCCTGGGCATACAGAGCACTTGGGATTCCCAACAGGCCCCGGGCAGCCAGGTCATCAGGAGGACAGAGGGAGCTATAGGTAAGCTGAGCCAGTGCCCGGCCAAGCAACTGCACATGGCCCCCTCCACCTGTGTTCACTGCCTGGGACAAGAGAGTTGACAGGTCTTGAGTGGTGGAAGCAGTACTAGAGAATTATGGTCTATTTAATAAAGGGTCAGAGATGGTGTTTTCAGATTTGAAGTCACATCTACAAAGGGACAATATTCATAGGGTAAAAGTCAGAACATTCAGACTTTGGCTTGGGATCCTGAAGGTGCTATAAGATCATAGAGAGCTGGATGATTAGGCAACTTCATATCTCATTCCTGCCTTACCTTATCAAATATTCCTCCATCTGAGATAAGTTGGGTACGGCCCCTGGTGTTGATTTCCATAGTGTATCGGACATGGGGAATCAGAAGCTAGGGTGGAGGAGATTGGAGGAGATGGTTAATGGAGGTTCTGCCTGGATCTTTTCTTGTAGAGTCTGATGGCCTGCTCTCCTTTTGATGTTTTGTATGTGTTGCTGCCATGTGGGCTGAACCTATTCTCTGATGACTCACTTTCATGATCTCTGGCTCTGGAGTCACAGTGGTTAAGATTTCAATATACATTTTACTGTACTCTAATACTGTAGCAAGTTCTACTGTACTCTAATACTGTAGCAACTCTGTAGCCTGCAGTCTCCTCATCTGTCAACAGGGGGCAATATTAGGATCTCTTATCTCAGAGAACTATAGTGTCTAATTATGAGAGTAATGTGTGAAGTATTAAGTACACATAGAAGTCCTCTAATAGTAGCTGTTATCATACTGTTTGTTTGCCCTTTCTCTCTGTCTCTGTCTCTCTCTTTCTGCATGTAAGTAGCGGGGCTTGAACTCAGGCACTGTCCTTCAGATTTTTTGCTCAAAGCTCCTCGTGCTCCACCACAGCTTTTTGGTGGTTAATTGGAGATAAGAGTCTCATGGGCTGGCTTCAAACGGTGATCCTCAGATCTCAGCCACCTGAGTAGCTAGGATTACAGGTCTAACAACTGGCACCTGGCTTCTCTTTATTGTTTCTCTCTTGAGTGTAGTTCTGTCTCAAGAATCAATCCATTTTGATTTTCTTTTTTTTTTTTTTTTTTTAATTGTGAAAATACTGTCATTTTGATTTCCTTTGTATGTCTTTTTTTTGGGGGGGGGTCAGTTATGGGGCTTGAACTCTGGGCCTGAGTGTTATTCTTCAGCTCTTCAGCTCAAGGCTAGCGCTCTACCACTTGAGCCACAGCGCCACTTCCTGCTTTTTTCTTTTTGCTTATGTGGTGCTGAGGA